ATTAATTATTAATGCTATTAGTTATTAATGTTGGTTGTTGATGTCGTAGTCTCGTCTGTAGGTTTGAGCATCCAACTAGTTAGTTGATCGATTGGAGGTATGTTGAGACTGGATGAGGACCTCTCTTGAGTGTGGGGATACTTGATGGTGTTGTTGCGCATTCAGGTACGGTTCTTGTGCAAAGGTTGGATATGGTGTGTAGCGCATGGGGTGGTGTGTTGAAGTTGATTGTAAAGTGCGTGCGTAGTGTTGCATTGCTATTTTGTGGCAGCGAAGTTCTATTAGTCTTTTTTCAAGCTGTCTGGTCATTGTTGCCGCAGTTGTTATTAGGGTAGTTCCTCGTATGTTGTTCCAGAAGTTCTCAAATTGGTTTAACTCTTCTTCGTTTTTATTAGCGGCTTCGGCAAGTTTCCTGCATGAATTTACATAAGTGGACCATATTGTTGAACTTTGGTGTTCTATTTTTGCTTTAAGGTTTTGTACCATAAGTGTTTTGGTAGCAATGTAAATTTTGAGTTGTGGGTTATCCACGGGGAATACCCATGGAGAGGTATATTCGTTAGCTTCTTGTATTAGAGAAGTTAAAATATTTGTCTGGATTTCCAGATCGTGCTTGGTAACATTGAGGTGGAAGGGTTGGTCGGAGAAGCTGTCATAGCCGAAGATACGAAATGTTGTTGCTCAGGCTGTGGTCGGAGTTTATATAGTGTTGGGAGGTGATGGGAAAGGAGATTTCGTTAATTATCGACTTTCTTAGTTGAATTCAATTTTTTTCCGTTTTTTGTTTTCCGTCAGGTTTCCTTTTCTTTCCCAGTTGTCTTCTTTTTTTTCCTGTACCGCATGCTTCCTTTTGAGTATTGATACAAGGGAGCTCTTGTCTACTACTAACCCTTTATTAATCAATCGACCAATATTTGATAAAATAAATTAATTGACCAAATCCGTACAATCGAATTGTGATAAGTGAAGGGAGTACGGAGTTCCCAAAGAATCTCTTTATGAGAATAATTCAATGATAAGGAATTGTGATGGTCTTACATTGGAAACTGATATGGGCAGAATGCCGAATTGTGGCGCGACATTACGTTGGTACGGCGGTCACGCCTACAGTAGAAACATTGGAGGTTAACATTGCAAGAGGTAAAGCAAGAACCTAACTGAAGTAGAAGCTAATTTTCACTCCTTTGATGTGGAGAAAATGAAAAGCGTCAATAATGGACCAAGGACCCTTCAATCTGCGAGACAACAAGACGACAACCATACCAGAGTCAACAATTCGAATGATGGTCACAACGACGATGAAGCCTACCGCCAACAACCAGACGTGGCAGAGGAGCTCAACGCTCTTCAGTCTGCCATTTCGAGAATTTCGAGAAAAGTCTCAACGAATCAGGTGTATCTGCGAGAAATTGGACACCGCATCTCGCAGTGCACCAACGTCTAACCTGGAAACATGAAGCGTTGGGAGACAGCAATCAAGCCCGCACAACGCAACATGCCACCACACCGCCGCATCAAACGCGCTCGCCGTAACTCACCACCTTCACTGGATAATAGAAGAAACCAAGTAACTAACACCTGTGCATTCTGTGGCGACGAACTTGGGCCACAGACTGCACGCAGTATCGAACCCTTTCACAGAGACGTGCACAATACAATATAAACCGGTGTGAACGTTGTCTTAGAGAAGCCATGTATATGGTTACTCTTTGCAATGATTAACTCCAATGTTTTTACTGTGGCTGACCGCTGAAAAGGATCCGGCAGGTGACTGGCATCAGACTACGAGGATTAGACATCAAAACAACGACGGCTGCGAAATAAAACTGAGGCGTGGCTGACGTAGGCGAGATGGTGGTCGGACGAATGATGTCGTGGTGGATGCGCCTCTTGCCACCACATCCTCAGGTGATGGAAAAAAAAAAAAAACCTGGTTTGATGAGATTAAAAACGCTGACCAGGCATCTATTATTTACTTTATCTATTCGGACATATTATTAATATTTATTTATTACCGTTTGGCTGCGCACGCATTTCGCGTGCATGAGACGGGGCTCAGCGGTAAAATCGGGCCCATCAGTATTTTTGTCTTGATTTTAGCTTTCTGCTCGGTACATCTTACTTACGCCGCAAACTCCGCCCACATCCGGGTGTGCCACGCCCAGCGTTCACATTCAACCTCTACTCCTACTTTCACCTCTGGCGTATTTTTTCAGGTCTCTAAGTCATCTCGGAGCCGAATTATGAGGTCTTGTAAATGGCGTTATGAGTCACGAATTTCTGAGGCAGACCCCGCCCACTTTGGTGCATGCTTAGCCCAACAATGGCATTCAACCCTACTCCATACCTCAATACTTATGCACATTTTCCCCGGTCGCCGGAACTTCTAGGAACCGAGTTATGAGAGCGGTGGCAAACTCCGCCCACATCCGGGTGTGCCACGCCCAGCGTTCACATTCAACCTCTACTCCTACTTTCACCTCAGGCATATTTTTTTTTTCAGGTCTCTAAGTCATCTCGGAGCCGAATTATGAGGTCTTGTAGGGGACGAAATCGAGCTACGTATCTTTGTGGCAAACCCCGCCCACTTTGGTGCGTGGGTCGCCCACTGATATCAGTCGGCTATCATCTCTTCCCCAACCTTTTTCTACTTTTTTCCCATCTCTGGAACTTATTGGAACCGAGTTATGAAGTACCGTGGCAAACCCCGCCCACTTTGGTGCATGCTCCGCCCGCCAACAACGGTTGACCCCTTTCCCTCTGCCAACCCTCATACGCTTTTTTCCCGGACTCCGGGACTCCTAGGAACCGAGTTATAAGCCTAATTGCAAACTCCGCCCACTTTGATGTAAGCCACGCCCATCCCTGACATTTAGCTTCCCCTCCCCTCCTGACCTCTATCCGTTGTTTTCCGGTCTCTAAGTCATCTCGGAGCCGATTTATGAGCTCTTGTAGAAAATGCTGTCCGCTTCACGACACGCTCCGCCCATTGTGGGCGGGCCTCCGTTCACATCATGCGTGGTGGAAATACCTTAGGCATTGCTCCCCTGCACTAATTTCGTTCCTGGTCTGTAGGCTTCCTCTTAACCGAGTTATGAATATTTTCACTGAGCACCCATTTTCTAGAGAGCCCCCCGCCCACCGAAGGTGGGTCTCCTCAGTTCGATCTGGCTTGCCAACCCACAATTATGCCCACGTTTGTCCCGGTCTCGAGGCTGTTTTGTGAC